TATCGCTGTGTGACTGATTTCATATGAAAAATTTCAATCTCTATTAGATTATGATAGAAAAAATGGTGATTTGGCCTAGCACATGCACACCCCACATACCTTGAAACATTAGTTTTAGAGGCCCAAAACACCCAACCGAACCATTTAATTTTTGTTAAATTAAAGACTAATTATGTCTTGGGTTTTAACTATTTAATAATAAAGAAGGAAACATCACAAAAAGCACTTAAGGTCACTTAAGGTCATGAAAATTATTTTCAATTCCTTGACACATCCACCTTATTTATTGAAAGTATCGGTATCAGCGATACTGGCCCATATCTACTTGTTATCGGATCAATACCAAAATATGCATCTTATTGCTAGCGGTGGGGATTAGTCAGGGCTCTAGAAACGAATTGGTTGGATATTCGATCTAATTTCTCAATGGTGTGACTAATCCTAGGTCGTCCAAGTAAAAAGGTCGCCTGTGGTCAATGACAGACAACGTACTGCCCATATATTGTGATCTAAACCAATCAGAGATAGTCTAGGGCAGAACCTCTAAGATGTCCATGCCCAAGGTATGGATATTGAGATGATCAATTCCAAGCCTTTATGGCATTTTTAATTTAATCTTCCTTTTTATTTTATATATCTTGAGATGTTTAAATTTCAGCTCAGTGAAGCACTTTAAGCACAAGAACTTCTTCAATGGTGTATTTTTTGGACTATAAGGCAGACTTAAAATCCTTTAATTTTCTCAAAAGTGTGCCTTATGTATGAATTCTGGTTGATAAGTGAAACTTTTTTCAACTTATTCTTCTTGCTTCCTCCACTTCCATACCATTGATTCATTAATGTTCAATTCTCTTGCAGCTGCTCTATTTCCATGTTCTCCTGGGTGACTGATAGAGTTTGCTTCATAAGCAGAGTCTTTTAAAAGATGCCATTTTGGGGGCCTTACACACACAACAGAGTATTATTATGTTGAAGCACAATACGTATCACTCCGCGAGGATCCTGACTGTGGTAGCCATAATGCTCTGACAATCCATCAAGCGGTGCAGCTTTGTGGACACTGTTTTTCAACAGTGTCCACTGCCTCACTGTGGTTTGATCTGAATCAAGTGTAAGTTTGTGGACCTTGTTGTTAAAGTCAGTGGAGCTTTTTATGTGGGTGTGGGGTGTGTTCCCCACAAAGGGTACTAGGATGGTAGTAATGTGCTGGACAATGTTGTAGGTGGCTGAGTTTATGCTGCTACCAATGAGCCTGAGTGGGACTCCTTCTTTATGGATCTATGGAAGTCCATATATACAGGGTGCAGCATCCACCGGGTAAAGGTGGTGGTATGCAGGGAGCTCAGTGGCTTTTTCCCTTTCAACTTCTTGTAGGCAACTGATAACTGTCTTTTTGTAGTTGCTTCTGGGGTTTCACCTTGAAGCTTCATAGGTATTGTTGTCACTGAGTGTAGTAATGTTTATTTGCTCTGCTTCTTCTTGTCAGGGATAAAATACATATCTATACTTTTTGTGTCCCAGCTGAGTAACAGGAGGAGAAGAGTCTGGTGGAGCAGCAGAAGAACAGTTTCAGCCATTTGGACTCAGCTGAGCCACTACAGAGGAAACAATGACTTCAACACAGGAGGTGAGAAAAATATCTCAGTTACACTGTTATTGAAACTGTGTGCACAGTAGAGCAGGGCGATATGGCCAAAAAAATATGTCACACTATGTATTTGAAAATTTGAGATAACGATATAATTTCTGCGAGTCAAAATACAACTCCACAACTTTACTAGCGCAAAAAACCAAACATCCATTTATTTTCACTTAAACAAGCAGCTGTTTTTTTATGTGCATTAAAGCTATATAAATATTTAACAGTGCAAATGCAAATTTCTTGCTGAAAGTTTAACCAAAGTGCATTTCCAGTAGAAATGTGCTGACATATCCTGAGCATAACCATGTATCCACTGAAGTTAAAAAGAGGTGCTTTGCTATGTTAAACTGCAGTGTGGCAAATAAAAAAAGTCAAATTTGTATTTTTCGGACCATAAGGTGCACGGGATTATAAGGCACATTAAGCGAAACAAAGCAGTCAGATAAATCAAACCTTATTCAACTCATTCTTCTTGCTTCCTCCGCTTCTGTACCATTGATTCCTTAATGCTGTATTCTATCACAGCTGCTCTATTCCCATGTTGTTGCAGTATATTAATGACATCTCGTATTGTGGATGGATTATCTCAGTTGTTCTCCTGACTGAAGTTTGGTCCGTTTACAGCATCCTGCCATGTGATTGCATTTGTCTCTAACCATCAGGAACCCTCACGTTAACTTTTATCGAGTGGAACAAAGTTGGCGTTCATCCTTTAGCTTCACTGTTTATGTTATGCTAAGATAGCTGTGTCGCTAGCGATCACGTAGCACATCATTATATACCAGCTAGCCCAACTTCAGTAACCCTACAAACGTCACTGCTGTTTAGTTTCCTGTCTTCATTTATGTTGGAAGTGATAGCAGAGCTGTACGTTTGATTTTTTTCAGAAATCTCTCAGTCAGAACATGCTATATCATGCTTAGGTAACTAATGAAACTAGCGAGCTAACTTCCGCTAACTTCCTGTTAACTTCTAACTCCGTTAAATGTAATAAATTCTGTTTTCATGGATGCCTGGAAGTTAAACTTCATAGTTACACCTGGTAAAGCAGCAACGCTGATCATTTTATTAAAGATGAAAGAATTTAGACAGTTTTTAACTCTCAGTGATGCTGCAGTGTTGTTTGACCTGAAGCGTACGGAGTTTAGGACCCAGATTACTCCCAGATTTACGAGCACCTTAGTCCGACAAATACGGCAATAACGACGGCCCGCTTGTATGTTCTGCAAAAAATGTGCTTTGTTGTATATCTGACGGACAAACACCAAACCAGTGAAGTTGCACCATTTTTAAAAACCAATTCTGGTTCATCCGTTTCACTCAACAATCCGCTTTCTCCCTTCTCATTCTCCGTTGCCGCCGTGGTTTTTCGGCCATGTGCGAATGAAAACAAAGGCACTGCACATGCGCGCTTTACCCATATTCTGTTGCGATATTTTATTTTCTTATCGTTGCCCAAAATTTTACCGGTATTACCTTGAACGGTATAATATGGCCCAGCCCTAGTGCACAGCTGGTTGTTTTTTCAAGTTAAAGTCAGCTTTATTGTCAAAGACCATACATACAGGCCCTAAGTGTACACTAAAATTATATAAAGATAAAAAATAAAATACGAGCGTTATGTACAAGAAAATACTGTACAATTATTTATTTATTTATTTATTTATTTATTTTTGTCCCGTTTGGATCTTTAGCCATCAGAATTGTTGTCTTAAGGCCAAGATAGATGCCAAGCGGATTTATTTTACCAAGTGGATCATCATGGCCTTGCCATATTGGTCCATTTGATTGACCTTTATTATAATTATGAATTTATTTTATTTTCAGTTGCTACAAACGGGACAGACTGTACAATTATTTAAACAGCAGTGTCCAACACAATCATGGTGCAGGAGCCATACCACACAGTGATGCAGCTGGTGAGGATACTCTCGGCGGTGCCTCTGTAGAAGGTGCTCATAATTGGGGTTGAGGCTCTTGCTCTCCTCACTTTTGCAGAGGCTGTAGAGTCGTTATTAAGCTTTGCTGACATGTGACGCAGTGTTTTTTGACCAGGAGAGATCTGAGATTTGCACACCTAGGAACTTGGTGCTGCTTACCTCTATAATGGGGCGATATGGCCAAAAATATTTATCACGATATACATTTGAAAATGTGCGATAACGATATAACTGACGATATAATTAACACGAGACAAAATACTTTACAACCAATGTTCCCTCTAATTTTTCATGTGTCTGAGTGAACACACAAACTCCCTGAGCGGACACTTGGACCACTGTGAGCAACAGCAGACGTGTGCACTGTGGTCGCGCTAGTCCATTGAAGTTACATGGTTTATTAAAATAATAAAATTACAGCATTTACATTTATGTTAGACTACTTTTAATTAACTGATCGACATGGTACATTTTCCGAGCAATAGGAAAGGGTGGGGGTGTTTTTGGTTTTGTCTTTGCTCACAGGCGGAGAGCGTTTTCCTTATAAAACGCCGTTATGACCATTTTTTCCCCCCGCAGTAAACAACGACAGTATTCAGGAAGAAAACCAAACATTGCAGATATTTTTATCATAACTCTGGTTTTACGTGGCCGATCAACACAATTTAAAAACTGGTATAAAGTCCACACTTTTTCAATCAACTGTTCCGTCTGTCCTGCTCACATCTCCAATGGTTGTACATGTTGTCATTTACTTGACTTCACTGCACATCAGCCACTTTGCCAGCTAAAACACTGGTGTCGGCACATAAGGACGCTGTGATAGTGTCCTTATGTGCAGGCAGGCTATAGACAGGCTATATATGAATGTGAATCGCATTATTGGCTGGACTATGGGATAATGTGGCATTGTTCTAATCCCATACGGGAGCAGCCAGTCACTTACTGACTAACACTGCACAGGGCTTGCAAAATCGCTAGCCCGACGTCCCGGAGCTAGCGGTATCTCCGGTCGGGCGACCAAAATCTATCTCAGCCCCGCCCGCTGGGTTATCATATAGCCCGACGGGGCTCCTCCATACATAAAGAATCCACATTCACAACCAAAAACCACAAAGTTATAAGAAAACACAACGATCATATTTTCAGCACACATTGAAACAACAACATCATCAGTTGGACTCCCCATTTTTCATGAAATGAAAGATTTTCTCCAGCGATCAATATTTCTTCAGTTATGTTATTTTCATTCCAATTCTCATTGTAGCACGTCATTATAATGTGAAACTACCAACAAAATGTGGTGGCAACACACCTAGAACTTGTTTGTTGACATCTTTGATTCCACTAATGGAGTTTCAGTTTGTTCCACGACTGCATTTCACTCACTGCCTCTGTTTGTATCTCTGTCACTGCAGGACCAACATGGAGCGAGAAGTCAGCGCTCTCAGGAGGCCGACAAACCTCACAGAAGAAAGGGAGAGAAAACATACAGCTGTGATGAGTGTGGGAAGAATTTTAGTGGGGCTGGACACTTAAAAGCACACAAACTCATCCACAGTGGAATTAAAGCATACAGCTGTGAGCTGTGTGGAAAGTCTTTTACTCAGGCTGGAAGTTTAAAAACACACAAACTCATCCACAGTGGAATTAAAGCATACAGCTGTGAGCTGTGTGGAAAGTCTTTTACCCAACCTCAAGGCTTAAAATCACATCAGCTCAGCCACAGTGGAATTAAAGCACACAGCTGTGAGCTGTGTGGAAAGTCTTTTAAGACGGTTGGACACTTATATAGACACCAACGCATCCACAGTGGCTTTAAACCATACAGCTGTGATCAGTGTGGCAAAACTTTTTCTTGCAGTGAAAACTTACAACTTCATCAAGTTGTCCACACTGGAATTAAGCCGTACAGCTGCGACATTTGTGGAAAAACCTTCCGCTGGCTACTCAGCCGAAATAATCACGTACGCATTCACACCAAAAATGATGTTTACTGCTGTGATCAGTGTGGCAAAGTGTTTGTGGTATACAAAGAATTAAAGCAGCACATGTTTACCCACACTGAGGAGAGACCTTATAAATGTGACCTCTGTGATAAGGCTTTTAAAGATCCACGTTCCCTGAAATCACACCAACAGATCCACACCAGAAAAATACTCTACAAGTGCAGTTACTGTGAGGTATGTATGTATATTTTTACAGTTGCAGTTATTTTGAAGTATTATGTGAATTAAGTTTAATTTCAAAGCTAAATGAGACATGAAAACGTCATGTACAGAATATTCAGTCAAGTTTGAGACAAATCAGAATCTTTCCTGATGTTGGAAAAACGTAAAGTTTTAAAAGCTTCTCCCCTTGCTGTCTATCTAACATTCACACTTGGGAAAGCTTGGGGTTAGTATCTTGTGACATGCAGAGTAGAGCATCCATCGATTTAACCAACAATCTTCACATGAAGTCGTTTACCTACAAATGAAGAGTCATTTTCGCCCAGTACGCTGAGTGTTACAATATGTAATTGGATGTTGGCAGAGCTGATCTTTATTTCAGGCGAGATTCAGGATAAAAATGTTGAAGGAATTCCCTGACTTACACTGTCTTTGTGTCTTTGTTTAGAAGCAGAGCGACACAGATGGATCCAGTTCTCAACCCTGCTGTCACTGTGGTGGTGAGAAAGCATTTCACTGTGACCTTTGTGGAAAAACTTTCAGTCAGCAGTGGTGCCTAACATTACATCAACGTAGACACACTGGAAACAAAATGAACTACTGCAAAGAATGTGGTAGAGGCTTCCCCACACCAAGTACATTAAAAATACATGAGCTTATTCACAGTGGGGTTAAAAAGCACGTCTGTGATCAGTGCGGGTCATCCTTCACCACTGCAGGTCACCTTAAACAGCATAAACGCGTGCACACAGGAGAGAAACCATACAAGTGCAGACACTGTGACAGAAGCTTCTCACAATCAAGTAATCGTAACCTTCATGAACGTAGACACATGGAAGAGAACATCAGCTGTGACCAGTGTGACAAGAGCTTCAGGAGTCTCAGTTCATACTCCGAACACAAACAATCCCACACTGTCCCCACAGTTTTACAGTTACCAATGTGCCAAAACATTCACTTCATTATTTGCTCTGTGCAAACATCAACATCAAGCGGACCTGAAGTCACTGGATCACAATGAATCTGAAGAGACAGAAAGATCCTCTTCTGGTTTCAGGATCAGACTTTAAAAACCTTGAGATCAGGCTCCACAGAGTTCAGGTGGAGTCTCCTGTAAAGAGTGCAGCTGATGTCACACTTGGATCTGATGAGGTAGCTCTGATTTCTGGATTTACAGTGAATAATCCTGAATGGTACATTCAGGAAGATAGAAGTATAGATATCTACATCTAATTCTTGTTTTTCTTTGGTTACCTTTGATATTCCATTTCAAAATGAATGTGTTTTTTCATGTATTTAGTTTTACTATAGTTTATTTCCTGTCCTGTTGATCCACATGTTCTGTAGCTGTTTTCTGTTTGTCGTTTGTGTTGTGAAATCCTGATACTACTAAAGATTTGGTTATATTTGATTAACTCTAACGTTTGTTTTATTAAACACTTATTAAATAGTTTGGTGTAAAAAAATAAAATAAAGAAATTGTCTCACAACAAGTATTTTGAGCCATGATTTCAGGTTCAGATTAACTGTTTTTAATGGCACATGTGGAGTGCCATCAGGGGACACTTGGTTGTTCTCCACTCACACTGAACAGGGTTCCTGCAACTCAGTAAAAAATTATCTTCAATGAAAATAAATTCGTAATTTTCACCCCAGAACTTTGCTGTGGATAGTTAGTTTGCAGAGGGTGTGTTTAAGATACTGAAAGGATAAGTTTACCCTTCCAAACTGTAAACAAACGGTGTGCTTATTAATAACTGAAGTTAGATTACAGGAGGGTAAATTGAGTTTAAGAGTTTTCAGTGTCATTAAGATGGCTCTCCTTTTACCTGACTTATATCCCCATGAAAGCTTTCCATGTAGGGGATGTTGACTGAGGTAATGCAGTCGGACAAGGGAGGATCCAGACAGATACATGACCTCAACCTCTTTAAAGCTTGGCGAGAGGTTCTAGTGAGCCTGGTTAAGGGAACAGATGAGTTGGGGCCGGAGGTGCCAAGTTCTACCATTCCCACCTCCCTCCTTTTTGATAACCAACTCACACAGGACCAGAGGACGAATTGCAACAGTGTTTTGCAGATGTGTTCTCCCCCCTGCCTAACTGTATGACTCATCATCGAGCACCATGCAGTCTGGCGTGATGGTGCATTCACAGCCCTATGTGATGCCTGAACATAAAAGGCAATTGTTCAGAGAGAATTTTCCAAAATGCTGAAAATGGGAGTAATAGAAGAATCGCAACCCCATAGTTGTAGTTGTAGCCTCAGTTGGGCGGCGGGGTGTGTGTGGCAGAGGTGTGGTCTGGCCTGCTGCATTGGTTAGTTAGTTAGTTAGTTAGTTTTGACCTGGACCTCACGGTTCTTTCTGGAGCATAAAGAAATAGGAGTTCAGACAGGTAAGAATGGGCTTGGCATTTAAGGGATTAAAAAAAAAAGTACAATTTTAAATTGGATCCTGTAAGTAAAAGGAAGCAAGAGGGGCCAAAACTGGCCTAATATGCTTTTTCCATTTTGTGCCAGTTAGCAGATGAGCAGCTGCATTTTGGACCAACTGAAGATGATAAAGAGAGCAATGGTTCGAACCAAACTACAGTGAGCTGCAGTAGTCGAGTCTGCAAATAATTGCTGTATGAATAACACGTTCAAAGACATTACAGTTTTTCTGAATTGCTAAAACACTAACTCCCATTGCAAAAACTAAACTGTCAACTAAGAAAACTCTTTCATCAAATCAATCCCACAGTTGCCAAAATCTTAAACACTATTCATCTGGCTAAGACACCATTTGCAAATCTGAATCTCCAATTTACCAAAACTCTAAACACATTCTCAAACACAAAACACATTTAGAAATGTGGTGCACTTGTACCCAGAATGGTGCACACAGGCTACTAACACACTTTCTTCATCATTAACACACTACCACTCAAAATTGAAAAGACATGTTGAAACCTCTTCTTCTGCTTTTGCTAGACTGAATCCACAGGGATGTATTCATGAGGTCTAACCATTGAGTCAAGCTCAAAGATTCTCTGTACACAACAAACTAATTTTAATTCTGTAAATGAAATAGAATCATGTATAAATGTGCTATGTATACAAGTATACTTATAACTAAATCTAATATAAATAAATGGGGGCGATCGCTGCTCAAGAGTTGGGAGTTTACCTTGTAATCGGAAGGTTGCTGGTTCGAGCCCCGGCTCGGACAGTCTCGGTCGTTGCGATGGAGTTCTCCACAGTCATCTTACTGTTGGGCCACACAACAACGAACCTCTAGCAACATTCCGTTGTGTTTTGTGTGCTTTTGCAGCATTTTTCTTTTTGCAGCATTTTTCTTTTTGCAGGCGTTTTTCTTTTTGCAGGCGTTTTTCTTTTTGCAGGCGTTTTTCTTTTTGCAGGTATTTTTTCTTTTTGCAAGTGTTTTCTGAAGTTGCAGTCCATTTGGCCTCTCAGCGCCACCGTATATGTCTGGAGGCTCACATCCGCCAAGGACTGGGTACAAGACTTGGCTATTTTAAAGCCTCCACGTTGTCAATTCTCCATCATTATAACAAAGGTAAGTCAGCTTGAGTACTGCAAGTAAAATGCCTTTGATTTTGCCCGGAACATTCAGATTAGTGCAAACATAAATTCATTCATGAGGGGGAAATTACAGTGAGAACATTTGGAGGCTCTGTTAGATGGATAAAATAGTGAGTTCAGTGCATTGATGTGACATTGGCCTAAAGGATTTAGTCATTCTTTGTGGTTAAAGAAATTGCACTAATTAATTTATATGTATTATGAATAATCCTAATTATACATCTTGCTTCCGTGTTTATGTCCTGCGTAACTTAAAATACATTCTATTTTGGTTTTATACATTGATTAATGACCTGCAGAATCTCTTTATCATGTTAAGTGATTTATAATTCTCACTTAAAGTCGATATTCTTCCTCTTGAAAGTGATTACATCCTTGCATTACATACTTTAGTTTCATTTTTTGCAGTTGGGTTTCTGAAAAAAACAAACAGGCAGACTTAGAATATAACATGCAGCGTTCTATAGATAGAGACATAAAAAGTTTTTTTTTATTACATGCATGTGCTAACTTTCTAAACACTTTGTTACATTTGTTATAAATGGATTTGAAAGTAGATAAAAATTGTGTCAGCCTTGGCTCATTAAATTTCTTGTCTTTAAATTAACTTTGTCTGTGTGTTTCAGGTACTGCACTCTCAAAGACTGAATGAACTACCATAAATAATAATAATAATAATGTGTATGTGTTAGTCCATATTGGGAAATTACTCCTCTGCATTTAACCCATTCACCCAGTGAAGCAGTTGGCAGCCACCAATGCAGCGCCCGGGGAGCAGTGTGTAGGGACGGTACCTTGCTCAGGGGTACCTCAGGGAAAATGCAGATAAGAGTGGACCATCTCTAGTGGAAAGTTACTGAGTCACTGATGTTTAGACTAGAATGAGAGAGCTTCTGTAATATAACTGTTAGGGACACTCCACCATTTTGAGATCCGTGTCAACGTGTCTTGCAGGACGCATCTCCCTTCTAGAAGTATTGTGAAATTAAGTGTTAAATGGTTTACTGAGTAGTGTTTTGTCTTTTATTGGATGCATCTGAGGAATCAGAAGAACTCGGTGAAGTGTTGATATTTAATAATAGATACATAAAAAGATAAATAAAAAAATTACATGTATGTGCTAACGTTCTAAACACTTTGTTACATTTGTGATAAATGAATTTGAAAGTAGATAAAAAACATTTGTGTCAGCCTTGGCTCTATGATTGCCATAATGAATGAATTAAATACACCATTAAATAATTAATTAAATGTGGCAATAATTAATTACATAAATATTTACGACACTTGTAATTAATTATTGACATATTTAATTAATTAATGACACGTTTAATTAATTATTGACACATTTAAATAATTATTGACATATTTAATTAATTATTGACACATTTAATTAATTATTGACACATTTAAATAATTATTTAATGGTGTATTTAATTCATTCATTTTGGCACAGTTGACTCCTTCAGGTCTCACCATGAAATAAATGTATCTGTCAGCCTCACCCATTAAACTCAGGGGGCGGGGTTAACGCTGATCGAGTCAAAACCATTGCTTTGGCCTGGTGGCCATTGTTTTTAGCACACAACAACGGCACGTGGAAGCTAACAGAACTGCACTTTGAAAAACCCAGTTTGTGTGTCTCCAAATACCATTGTAATATTTTTTTAGCCGAGCATGTAGTGGTTTAATCTTCATATGTCTGGTCGGTTTGTCAAGATACAGCCTCTTTACAAAAGTGCTTCGATGATTTCGGAGATGTCTGCCCAGTCTCACGGCAAAGCGTGGGATAGACCCGCTCGCCTCGCAAGCATTCGAGCTTTTATTACCACCGACAAAACGCAGGCACAGCCGACACAGCTGTAGTAACCCCCGCTGACTTCTTTTACTGACGTTACATTTATCGGGGTTTTATTTCCTGATGTTCTTATGTGTCCTACGTGTTTCAGTCGCCAATTCTGAATTATAACTAACATTAAAAACATGTTTAAGGAGGAGAGAGAGAAAATAAATTCGATTAACATCTGATGTTTGGGTTTTTGTTCAGTAATCAGCGTGACCTGTGTATAAACGCATAAAAGAGATAACGTTGGTGTTTCCGTCATGTAGTAACTGCTGGCTTTAACTGTACAAAGGTTGTTCGACACTATGAAACACATACAGACTTCATGATGTTCGGCTAATATTTTTATTGTGAATATTAATCATGAGGGTGAACGGCCCTGTACACCACAGAGTGAAGTCAGCATATCCACGATATCTTCAGCTCTATGAGTTAACACAGTTTCCCAGCTGACTAATCTAACGGCCATCTACGAATATGTCACGGGTCATATCAATATGATTTTACAGAAAATCATCCTTATTACTGCCAACTATTCCAGAGACGTGAAAATCTACACCATAAAGAACAAAAAAATATAGCAGTCTAACGCAACACTGTAACAAAGATGAACCGTCAGTTTGTCACAGATCAAAGTGTGAATGAAAGTGATTGGTTGAACAGGTGTCCGTGATGTGTGTTTTCTGCATTTTCATCAGCATAAGAGACTCAGCAGCAGATTAGAATAACAGTTACACATTTAATAAATCACCAAATGAATACACGATCTAACCTGTTCCGACAATTTGAGTTTGTGTTCTCTCAGCTGCAGACTCGCTGCTGTTTAAATGTTTGAGAGGAAGATTAGATATAATGCAAACATCAAGCTGTGTGCCAGTGATTGAACATGAGCACTTTTGCAAACATGTTCTATGTTGACAACCTGACCAGACATGTGAAGATTACGTTGCGACATTCGCAGCTAAAACACTATTAAAAGTGTAGTTGGTGACAGAAAAACGGGGTATTTTAAAACTACACCACCACCATTGCTGCCTGTGATTTGAAATGCATTCTGGGATACCTGGCTGCCCCAAGTCTACACGAGCAATCGATTATCTTGGATCGACCTGTCTTGACTTACTTTGCACGGCAACCAATCAAATGTTAGAGAAGCTGCATGGCAGCGTTAACCCCGCCCACTTGGTTTGATGGGTGAGGCTGACAGATAAAATTATTTCAAGGAGCGAGATGAAGGGGACCAAAGTGCCAAAATGAATTAAATAAATAAATCATTAAATAATTAATTAATTAAAACTGTCAATAATTATTAAATGTGTTATTAATTAATTAACTACATGTGTCGTAAATATTTATGTAATTAATTATTGCCACATTTAAATATTATTTAATGGTGTATTAAATTAATTCATTTTGGCAGTCCTGGCGTTCCACATTGGCTCATTAAAGTTCTTGTCTTTAGATTAACTTTGTCTGCGTGTAATCGTGATACAGCCACTAACGCTGTGCAACTAAGTCACGTGACCAGAAACCAACAAGTCACGACAGAGCAGGAAGAAGGGGGCGGAGCAAAGTGTTCGTGCAGGAGAGGAGTCGAGCAGAGAGAGCTGCTTTTTCATGAAACGGGAGTAAAGTAGTGAACTTAGAGGAGAGAAACAAACTAAAGTATCGATTATATACCACTACCAACGTCCTGATCGATATCTGCATCGATCTGCCCACCCTTGTCTCCTGGATCGTAGCTGAGATCAGCGTGAACCACGTGGGTCTCTGCTCCCTGATCTGTTTCCTGTGTTTGGAAAGAGTTGCAGCTTCATCGCGGAGTTTCTCTCGGTTTGTGGGCTCATCTAAAGGTAAGCACCGAGCTAACTTTACTGTGAGTTCAGTTCATGTTGAGTTTAGCTCCTGAATGAGGTCTTCTGCTGCTCTCCTCGGTGTCTGTTCACAGTTTATTGTGAACACGTTGAGAGAAGAGTGAGAGAGTGTTTGGAGAAAAACACCAACTAACCATTAGCTCAGCATGCTGGGAGAAGTTGGAGCAGGAAAGTCTTTTCATTGTCCCTGCAGCTGTTTTTCTGCCTGCACCAAACCTCTACAGCCTCGTTTCTATTTGAAGTGATAACAGGAAGTCAGAGCGATCTGCTGCAGTATCAGGGTCACTATAAACTTTATTGTCCAGCTGCTGTGGATGAACACATGAGAGGAAGTGAACTCCTACAAAGTCTCATTTCAATGAGTGTGGCTGCTGTAAAGTGATGCACAGGAAGATGTTAACAAAAACTAATGAAACAGAGATGAAAGTAAACAGTGTTCATATTTGAAAGCAGAATAAAAATATATTGTGGTGGTTAATGTGCAGCTCTTGGTGATTTGGGAGAAGAAGAATGTTTTTATCGTGTTGTGGATTGAATGTTGGATTTTATTTTTATTTGTTGTTTACAGAAAACAGAAGTTTTGTCCACTTGTGGTTTACGATGGAGACTTTGAGTCTGGTCCAGCTGCCTTTTGGGGGTTCTGTCTCTTAAAGAGTATTTACATCTCTCATGTAGGGAGGGAGGACCCATGGAGGGTGCAGACACTGTGAAGTAGTGATGAGGTCCAGGACATGTTTTATAATCACGGGGGTTGCTGAAGGTGTTGAAAGTCTTGGGTGGGGGGTAACAGGTCATTGTTGGTAGAATCCACAGCAGGAGCTGTTCAGGCTGTTGGTGTGCATTGTTGGTGAAGTGGGGTCTTTAGGTTTGTGGTTGGTTCACTTTCTGAGTGTTTTTCAGACAGAAGCAGAGTCGTTAGATGAAAACAGGTTTGGGAAAGTCGGAGGAACTTGGAAAGAAAAGCGTCTGGACTTCTTTAAGTTGCTTGAAGACGTTTCACCTCTCACCCGAGAAGCTTCTTCAGTTCTAAGGTCAGATGGTGGAGATTCTCAGATTTAAACCCTAAAAGGACCCCGTGATGATCCTCTACCTAATCACATGAGCCAAGGTGTGAAAATGGGTGTGGGTCACAATCAGCCAGGTCATTGTGAAACCTGGCCCCACCCTATCATGTGATTTCCTGAGGTCAGATGGCCCAGGATGTGAGTGGGCGTTAAGGCGTCTTATAAAGAAAGTGACTGGACTTCTTGTGTGGCTCGGTGCTGTCCCTGTTAAAGAGCCAAGAGCCTTTCTTTCCACTTCCTCCATGTAAAGTTTGGCTACAATGGGACACACTGGGGAGCTCACAGCACATCCATGTTTGTGTCTGTAGAAACCCTCGTTGTATTTAAAATATGTGGTGGTAAGGCAGAGGTCTAACAGTGTGCAGACCTGATCAGGGTGAAGCTGGTTCTGGTTTTAAGGAGCTGTCTTGATGTAGTCGTTTCCTGACAGTCTCCACTGCCTCGGTTGAAGGTGTACAAGTGAAAAGTGAGACCACATCCAAGGACACTCTGGTTTCATCTGGATCAAGTGTAAGTTTGTGGACCCACAAGTGGAGCTAGGATGGTGATGTGTTTTTGCTGCTACCAATGAGTCTGAGTGGGACTCCTTCTTTGTGTATCTATGGAAGTCCATATATACAGGGTGCAGCATCCACCGGGTAAAGGTGGTGGTATGCAGGGAGCTCAGTGGCTTTTTTGCAGCTGATGACTTTCTTTTTGTAGCTGCTTCTGGGGTTTCACCTTGAAGCTTCATAGGTATTGTTGTCACTGAGTGTAGTAATGTTTATTTGCTCTGCTTCTTCTTGTCAGGGATAAAATACATATCTATACTTTTGTGTCCCAGCTGAGTAACAGGAGGAGAAGAGTCTGGTGGAGCAGCAGAGGAAC